CACCCATTCTTTTTTGTCATTTCCAGCCCTGCTACAAGCCTCATCTTTGCTCCTCTCCTTTTCTTCGCCAAGACAACATGGAAAATTCACAATGCTGAGGCTAAAGTTGGTCAGAGTGCTGTCTTCGCTCCCTATGTTTCTTCAACCCACATTTGCCTTTCAACTTCTGTTTTAATCTCCCTTTTATCAATCTCCAGATAAAGTCCCGTTGGTTTCCATCTAGTCCAGCCCTTCATTTACATTCCCGACGCATGCCTTTCTATACTTAGCTCCAACTTCCTTCTCTGTTTTATCACCTCTCTTATCTGCTACCTTCAGCTTAGCATCTTTTATCTTCCCCTTTTCCTCCCCCTCTCCTTTTTCTGTCCATTTTTAAATGAACTCTTCATGCACCACAAAGTCCACTGCCATCATTCCCAGTCCTGAGCTCCAGCTGGCCTAGGCATGCCTTCCCTGGCCAATGGAGCAGTGCTGTGCATCCCCTGCATGCACTGCTGGATAAATGGCTAGCATTAGAAATGTTCTGTGAGATGGATACCTGTGGCAGTGCTAATGTGCCACCACTAGTGCATCTTGCTGCAGTCATCACATCAGTCCTGGGGGAAATTACAGCAAGATGATGTACGGCACCAGGCCTCCTGTTTTAATCCCGGCTCTTTTGCATCCTGCCAGAGAGAAGCACAGTCACACGAGCAGCTGGAAATGACTGGCCTGTTATCATGGTGCTGCTGGATCATTGCTTACTTCACCCTGCACTGGCTCCCATTGTGTGCTGACTGCTTGTCACCAAGAGAAGATGCAGGGGAGTTGGACCAGGAGAGAGGAGGGCTGGAGGAGGAGGTGATTAACACTAATGGTCAGGACTGGTGAGATGAGGCTGGTAATGGCTGCTTGTTGCTTTTTGCTAGCTGAGTAGAGTAATAGCCATATGAGAAAGGGAAAGGTCAGATACTGAGGGAAATAGAAGATACTTAAAGCTAAATGCCAGAACATCAGTTTAGTGAACTAAGGAAATATTTCCCCTCTTTGTGCATTATGGGCCTCCAGAACAGCACAGCAGGACTGGGAGGTGCTGCCACTGCCCCTGCTCTGCTTTGGCCATGAAGGGGCTGCTGCAGCAGGGAGGGGTTTTCTCCACACCTCCATCAGCACGGGCACTCAGTCACGTTTCAGTGCGATTGATGTAGTCACGGATCACTTGCTTATTGAGACTTAGGGGTGAAAACCTGCCTGTAATGAAACAGTCACTGTCATTATCTTTTCTGCCGCTGTAGCCACTTAGGCTGGAGCACCGGGGCCTCCAGTTAAAAGCTCAGCTGCAGCTTCCCACCTCGGGCTGTAGGGACTTGTATTCCCAGCGCAGCAGTCACGGGTCAGGCTCTGTAGTATAGACATCCCAGGAGGCTCCATGTGCACAGAGCCTGAGAAATCCTGGACACTGCTTTGAACTTAAATTATTAATACCCACCTCAAGGCTTCCTCGAGAAGATGAGCTGAAAAACCACCGCCTGCGTTTCACGCAGAGGATACTCCACCTTTGTGTTTGTGTCAAAACAGGGGACTTTCACAAACACCTTTGTTGCCAGGGGCTTGAATTATGTACAGGGAACTTGGCGCTCTGCTGCATCGCAGCGAACAACAGTACATTTCTATGGATTTATTAATCGGGTTTCTGTGCGTTTCTTTTTCTGTAGTGGTTTAAGCAAATAAAGTAACCAGAGGATTTTTACAGAGTTAATTAAAGAGGAGAGCAGTTCCAGGCAAGCATGACATTAAAGGCTTGCCAAATACCTCTTTTCTGAAAATACTACCAGCCACTTTAAAGTCTGCTCCAATTCTCAGGCTCTAGTGGAAAGTCCTTTCCAGACAAAGTCGTTCAAGTTCCAGAACGAGTTGTCTGTCTGAGAGTTTGGAAAGGGGAATGGGCAGGAGGATAAGGTTTCTTTTATGGAGAAGATAAGGTAAAGAGAGTATGTGAGATAACAGCTTAAAAGTTCTGTGACTGTCCCCCTCCCACAGCACTTTAACTGTCTTGGTTCCCTCTGAGGCTCCCATTTCAGGGGTAGTGTGGTGCACCAGGGTCTCAGTGACTTCAAAACTGAGTCTGAATTTGAGCCTAGATGTCTGAAGTCTGTCTGACTTAATGATCTAACGCTCTTTTCCCCACACTTTCAAGCTGTGTCCTGCTGTGCTGGCTTTGACAGGAAGCCCAAAGCAGTCATCAGCTTCTATAATCAAGAAATTTGCCACAAACAGCTCTTTTATTGAAATCAATGAGAGCTCTGACCTGTTAATTTCTGAAGTATCCTCCTGTATGCAGAGGGGCTCTGCAATATAATCTGGCTTTCGGATGTGAGAAATGACACTTTGTATTGCTTGTGGGGTGCTAAAAATGTATAGATGTGAAATAGATTGGGAGATCTGCCAGTACAAAGTTAATAGAAGTTCTCATAATTTCCCCAAGTGACATTACTGACCCAGGCTTGAAGTGAAGCCAGGTCTGGTTTCACATCATCTAACATTTCACTAAATGTTAAACAACTGAGATAGAATTTTTATTAGGTATGCCAGTATTTCATAATTTACCCCAACCTCTAGATATATATTTTCCTTTTACAGTCCAGAAGATGTTTATTATAGTCTTTTGAGATGCATTAAAAGGGTGTTAGCACAAATAAAGCTTCCTTCCTTATTCTCCAGGCAGGCTGCGAAAGCAATTTAATATCAGCACACTGGATACCTGGTGTGCTGCTTTAACACATAAGGATCCAACAAGTACACTCCAATGCTCTCAAGGGCAGATGTTTGATGACTTAGAGCTGCTACAGTGGAAGAAGGTAACACAATGATGCTGAGGGGAGAAAGACCTTTGCAAAGGCAGCCCACCAACAGAGTGTTAGTTTTCAAAACGTACCCACTCAACCCAATGGCACCCACAGCAGGGAAACATAAGGTAAATTAGTGACCTTTCAGGCCCAGATGTTAAGAGAGTAGAATAGCTGAGAAATCCAAGGGCTAAGGTCAAGATAAAGAGTGCTGCATAAATGCAACAGCTGTAAGACACTGAAAAGGCATCAGAGACTGCGAGCACCAGGAATATATAAATCACCCGGAGCAATCTGCTGCAGCAAGGCGTGCTGGTCTAGACAGTCTCTTTAAACTATTGCCAACACTTTCCAAAAGTGTGTGGTTAAAATTAGGCTTCCCAAATCCATATTTAGAAATCGAAAGGCACCAAAAGTACTGAGCACCCATCAAAACATATGGGCTCACAAAGCCCCTGGAAATCAGGTTACATGTTTGAGGCAGAGACTCCTGTGCTGAGTTGCCCCATAACTGTGAAGGGTCTTGGGTAGACTCCCCCCTTTATCCCCCTCCAGATCCAGCCTAAAGAAGCATTTTAGTGTCAGCTTCTAGATTATGAAAAGCTTTGACCTGTACAGAAAACCGAGAAGCCTGAGCAGCAGAACCAATGAAATTGGATTTCCAAACCTTTCTTTTCCACCTGTATTTCCCAATACCTATAAGGAGGGACTTAAACCAGGGCCTGTCTCCTTTATACTCCCCTCATTTTCATAAAACTTGCATAACTTCAGTGTCCACATCATGGGTGATTAAGGTCAGCCCCTGTTTTCACACATCTACTTGGTTATATGGAAGAATGCTCAAGGATTTAGGGATCCTGTCACTTCCAGTAAAGGCGCTATAAAGCACAGAGGGATACAAACCAACAAGCTTTGTGTTGTTTATATATCTGCAGCTTCTCTAATTTATTACAGGATTTTTACCAAGCAGGACCCTTTCCAAGTCTGTGCCTATGCTTACAGAGAGACTTGTTTGACTCTTGTTCTGTCAATCTTTCTGCTGCTCAAGCTGTCTCTCAACTTATGGGAAGCTGATTTGTGCTAATAGATGTACCATATTCTCTAACTTGCTTCACTGAGAAATTTCCATTAAACATTCTAAAAGCTGAGGAGGGGGGAAAGGATAAATCACCTTTAATCGGTAGCACGTGGCCAACGAAAAACCCAACAAAACCCAGTTAGCCACAACATCAAGTTGGGTTTTTTTTGTCTTAGAATGTACTGTGCAAGTTTCCTTGTTTACTAACACACCAGCATCAATTCACAAAGGATGTAACTCCTCGAATCAGATGGGACATAAATGTTATTCCACTGGATTAAGCCACAGATCTCTGTAAACAACACTGACTATTCCTTTGGCAGATGCGATTTCCGTGACCCCAACCCCTACCTGTGCTCTCTGCTGGCAGCAAGTGCATCAGAAGGGTGCTGAGCTCAGAGTAGCAGAAACAACGAGTAACACAGGCACTAGACTGAGCTCTATTACCAAAGACACCAGGTTCCATGCATTAAGCTGACCAGCAGAAAAAACTCGAGAACCACTGGGTTTCTTCCTCCACCAGATTTTAAGTTTACTCAGATTATTAGAGATCTAATATATTTATTGCTCATTAATCTTTTTCAGGCTCTGATCTTGTAAACACTCATGTGTTTGTGTTCATTGCTATGGTTTCAATTGTTGCCCAGAACTGTTGCACAAAGTTCAATTGCTGTGTTTTTCTTTCTTATGGAATTGAGTCCTACGAATATGGCCTATTTAAAATTAAAATTAGGCAGTGATTAACAACTATTTCCCAAATCAAGAGGAAACAAAAAAGCCCTATTGAGACAACACAATGCCGTATGCCTTCTGACAGATTTGCATGTTCCCCAGCCCTTGTCCTATTCAGGCTTCACTGGTAGAATGGGGAAACTCACAAAAATACCCTTGTTTTCTCAGAAAGGTGTGTTTTTCCATTTAAAATAGCTTTGAGGAAAATACCCTCCCAGCAATTTAGAATTGGTTTTCTCAAAGCATAACAAAACATACTACAGCTCATACATATAAATACAAAGAGACATAAACAAAACGCTTAACTATCCTTGATTATTAATACCTGCATTTTCTCAACATTACTGGCTTCAAGACAAACTTACCTTCAAAGCACTCATGAAGGATGTTTACTGCTCTGACAGATGCTAAGAGCAGCTGCAGGGCCCTCTGCAGAGAGCCTGATGCTCAGCTTTCTCATGCTTACAGGTAAGGCTTTTTAGCTCCATCCTGCAGAAGGGTTACAAGGTGCCCTGCCTCCATTAAAGAGCCTGGAGCAGAGAAAGGGAACACCAGGCATAGCCCTGCTTGAAGAAGAGTTTCACAGAGGTTTGAGCTGTGCTCTGATTTCTGAGTCACCCAGACGGCTGAACCTGAAGGAAGTGAAGCATTCTGCTCACTCCATCAAGGTCAATCACTGCTGGAGTATTTGTCATGTTCTACTCTCTGGCTGCTGTCAGAGTAAAGGGAGGCAGCCAGCAGCAGTGATGAGCTAATGAAGCTCATCTGGTACATTAGGTAGAAGAGGTGTAATGCAGAAGATTGCATGCCCAAACCCTACTATTAACTCATGCAAAAGTTGGCTGTGTGTTCTTTCCTGAAGACAGAGTGGAGGCTTGCAGAGTCATTACTGAGAATAAAGATGATAAATGACAGTTGCTTTTCTAACCATGTGCACTCATTCTTTTCCCTCCAGTGTGACTCAGGTTGCTCCCGAGATCTACTTGGGGCAGCTACCACTCCAAATTGTCTTGTCCTCATGCATTTTATCAAGCCTCTAGAGAGCATTTGCTCTCAGATGAGAGCACACATTTCTTTCCATGCTCAGTGATTTGCAGTTCTGCATGGCCCTGACTGGGCTGAGGAGCCCTGTGGTAGTCTGAATCCCCCCACCTGGATCTGTTTGATCCTCCTCTGGGTGTACAGCAGCCTGTGGAGCTCTTAACTGTGCATCCGGGATCATGCAGAGCCCTGAAAAGGAGTGCTCAGCATCTGGCTCTGATCATGTGCTCTGCCACAGGTTCCCTGATGGACCATCAGCAAAGCACATGGAGGGCAGAGAAACGCAAGGATTGGTTTCAAACCCAGACCCTGCACAGAGAGCTGAGTCCCAGGGGATCAGCTCATGTTAAGCCAGATCCTTTGGAGAACTCAGCACTCAGTAATATCCATGCTGATGAGAGAGCTGTGTTGTCTGGACAGCACAACATCTCTGCACTGGTCTCTCTTGCAACCACGTGAGATTCTCCTGGTACTTGAATCAAAGCCAAACTCTTTTTGGCATCTGTCCCACATTGTAGGAAAACACTGGCCTTCATCTCCCCAAATGAAATTCTCAACCCACTAAACTCAAGAGGACTTTTGCCTTTAGCTTTGACCTGATAGCGGGATTTTCCTGCCTCGATGCCCACTGGTAAAAGTGGGAATCTCATACTTCTCCCATTACACCTGATTGCTAAGCTCCCACGGGTGTGCACAGCAACACTGTCTGCTGCTCTTTGGTCTTCTGGGTGCTAAAAGAATGAAAAATGCTTTAAAACATTTAATGGCAAATACAGAGTCTTTTCAGGGCAGTCCTCCACAAGCTCATGGGATTCATACAGCAGAATAGAGTTCTCCGTAAATTCATCCACAAAAATGCTAGTACCCCTGAGGACCTATTGATAAAGTTCAGATAGCATCTTTGCCGATGTTCTGTACTATCAGTGCTGTTGTCTATCTTATTTTCCCCCTTATAATTTCTTCTTGTTGGTCTTTTACGTGGAACTAGCATTTTTGTCCTAATTAGACAATTACAGATTATGATGCATTAATTTGTTAACCTATGTTCACAAATCTTTTAATTACAGCAGTCGTCTTTGATGTGCTGTTATTATTCAGCTATGGCAGTAAACAATCCTGCAGCTAACTGGAAGGAACTCATTATTTTCTGAGAGACATTGTCATTATTTTTCAAAGTATTTTTTCCCTAGAATACAGACAGAAAATGACCAGAGAAACAGGCAGAGAGAGTCATTACAGAAACCAAACACCTCGTTCCATCATATTGATAGTTATTATTGAAAACACAAAGATCTCTTGCAGCATAAGTAAGTCAGGGACTTATCCTTCACACTTGTAGTCCCCAAGCTTTGAAACAGCCAGAGATGAGAAAGCTTCTCTAGAGGCAGCACGAGCAACAGCAGCAGGTACAGGATATGTAGCTTTTCACCCTGCTTCCAGGTTTCCATGTAAGCACTGCAGTTAGATGGGACACAGCCATAGAGCAAAAGCTTTTTCTCATTTTTAAAGGTGGAGTAAAGACTCCACATGCTTAACAAGACCTACAAGAAACCCAGAGAGGGGCTTTGGACAAGGGCCTGTAGGGACAGGCCAAGGGGAATGGCTTTAACCTGCCAGAGGGGAGACTGAGATGAGCTCTCAGGCAGAAGCTATTCCCTGTGAAGGGTGCCCAGAGAAGCTGTGGCTGCCCCATCCCTGGCAGTGTTCAAGGCCAGGTTGGACACAGGGGCTTGGAGCAAGCTGCTCTAGTGGAAGGTGTCCCTGCCCGTGGCAGGGGTTGGAATTGAATGAGCTTTAAGCTCATTCCAGCACAAACCAGTCTGGGATTCTATGATTCTAGGAAAAGAGCAGCAACAGACACAGAGACGTCATATGAGAGAAGGGAAAGTGGAGTGTAATCAGGCCATCTATTGTAAAACCACAAGTCATTGTTTTCAATAGACTATTTTTGGCCTAGTTTCCCAACACACAGGCACTCACATACCCTTTCTGCTGGCAGTAGAAAGCAGTAGATGTTAGAGAACATAAAGCGAATGGCAGAAAATAGTGTTGGGTCTCCAAAGAAAATCAGCCACCCCTGCTCATTCCTGGCAGATGTTTTCCTAACCCCGTCTTAAAGAGCTGTAATGATGGAGGAGTTATGGTCGCTGCAGCAGCCTCTTCCAGCGCTGAACCCTCCCTGCCCTCCAAGTGCTTTTTCTAATGTGTAATCTGTGTCACCTCTGCCAATTTAGGGCCATTATTTGTTGCCTTACCTACTTTCCTGGAAGAGAGGAGCAGAGCAAGGTAAGAGCAAGAAGAAGGGAAGACATCTGCTCTGTTTCCTGGGGAGCAAGCCCGTGCCGACCTTTCTGTAGTCTTCAGCTTGTTTCATTTCCCGTACATGTACTCTGCTTTCCACTCCATAAAACCCAGCAGCCACCGTGCCATGGTGAGACGATTGGTGGGAACTTAAAGGGTTCATTTTGTTACAGTTCTAAAATGTCAGATTAGGCTGTGTAGTCACATTAGTACCGTTAGCTTTAATATACTCAATGCCTAATCTGCCAGGGCTTCTTTATTGACAGGCTGCATCTCTATTTGAGCTTGAATAAACTTGTGCATAAAACGTTATCGGCAATGACAGCTGAAAAGAGGTCTATTGCTCTTTAAATTTTTGATGGGAGGCAAGCATTCTGTCATTTGTGATAGCATTATATGTAATCCAACATAACAACTTGATAGTCTGATATAACAACATTCCAGCTTCCCCGCTACCATTGTAAAGAGATGCTGTACAAGCTGCTACTACACGCAGTAATATCAGCACTGACAGCTGGAAGAAGAGTCATGCTTCGCTCTTTAAATCTCTTGCAAAACCCCCTCATCTTTATTGATTTGTTTTCTTGGGGGTGGACATCTTTCTTTGCCCAAAATTCCTCGGGAAATGGGCTGGTTTGGAAACTCATGGCAGGATGGAGGTGACCCAGGAGATGTCTGTTTTTACAGTGCTGCCTGAAAAGCTGGTACAATGTGATTGTGCTCTGCCCCAAATCACAGAATAGGGCTCCTCAAAGCCTTTGTTTGCTGCACATATCCCAGCTCCACCTCCTAAGTTTTCTCATCACTGCTGGCTTCCCTGTCAACCTCTCTGTTTCTGCCAGGCAGGGGCTGGGTGCTGTCACACAGAATCCCTATCTCCCTTCCTTTGTCCTCAAAACCCAGGATAATCACACCCCTGGTTTACCACCAGCAGCTTTCAGTACACTGCCAGAAGAGGTGAGTTCTGCCACCATACAGGGACATTGCCCACCTCTGCTTCAGCAAGTGTGCTCTGTCCCTTCATGCTGGATGCTCCCTGCTCTCAGTCACGTAGGAGAAGTGCAATGCATAGGTCAACTATTTTGACCACTATTGGTATATTAATTGAATTGTGACTTTTTTACATTGCAGTATCATAACTGCTTGAGGTCAGGCAATTCAGAAATTAACTCCTAGTTAGTTCTCATAAGAAAAAGGTCAATACATAGGATAAGAGAGATCCACCGGATTATGAACAGTTTATGTCCTAGAGAAATATCTACTCTGCTTTTTCAAGTGGACTTGATTTTCACTCCTTTATACCTCTTCCATGCTAGTATAATTGATTTAAGTCAGTGAAAATCCAGTGCAGCAATCCAGTACAAATAAGCTGAGCTGCACCAGCATGAAACTGGTATGGCAGCAAGGACCAGTGCTAGCTGATCCGGCATCCCCAGCTTTGGTAGCTACATCAAGGACCAGTTTATTTTTCCACACGCTCCACTGCACACTATAACACCACCAGTAAGCAACCAAGTGACACTGAGAGCTACCCAAAGGTATGTTCAAATGCAGGAGCACATTTTAATATTACACCATATGTTGCTAAACAAGCTGTCAGGCAAAACTTATAGGCAGGTGGATACGAGCCCTGTACATAAATAGCTGAGGTTTATGTATTTTAAGGCACAGATCTGTGGGGGAGGCTGTACTTCACCTGATCTCTGGCTGGCAGGAAGCACTGCAATAACCTCACCTGACCTTTCACAGAAGAGCAATCCTGGAATTTCACATGGGCTCTTTCTCCTCTCATTTTTATTCCTGTCTGTACATGTTATAGCATCACTTTTTTCTCTGGTTAAACCTTTTCTTCATTGCAATGAATAACCATCTCTTGTCCAGGAGCAGATGTTTATATAGCACTGCCTGTGCGTACCCTAGAATTATTCAGAATAGAATACCTTTAAGATCATGGAGTACAACTGAACACCTTTCACTGCCAAGTCCACCCCTGAACCATGTCTCCAAGCACCCCACTTAGAGAAACATCTGATCCAGGCAGATGCTCTATGGAGCCGAGGCAGGTACGTGAAGCACACCAGCCAGGGAAGGGCAGGTTGCATTTGCAAAGCAAATCTTATGCAAGAGCACCAGTATCCTCTCCAAAGGCAGGCAAGAACTGCTTCTGTTTGCAGAGGGAGGAATTGAGGCACTTCTCTAGCATCAGCCATGAGTTTTCCTCCTGACGTCCATAGGGGTGGGGAGAGACATCCTGTCCTTGAGCAGCCTGGGC